GGACGTTAAACCCCATTTTTTCTCTCTCTTTCTCTCTTTTTCTGTCTCTCTCAAACCGACAATCTATTCAACCAACTAGAAACAATCCATAACGTAAACCCATGACTGTGTGTAAGCAGTAGACAATAATTTAAACATACATCATGCAGGTCTTTCTTTAGGTCTTAAATGTCACATAAATCATTAATTAGACATTTATTAGAACGGAAAGACTTTAATCAACACTCGAAGCAATTTTCACTGGATTTGAACCCGATCTGCTGCTCAACGCTCATTGGTGATTAAATGCAAAAATGGATAATCGAGACAGGTTTGTTTTATCGTACCGACGTTGTAATGATGATCAAGGCTTGGCATATAATTCAATCGCTAATATCTCGATTTAAAGTGGAGCAATTTGATTGAAATTGTCAGCATATTCCCTTTACATTATCTAGTTTTTAACTATTATAGTGAGAACTGCCGTCTCTTTATCTAATCTTCCACAATGCCCCTTTAAGTAAGGACTATAACTTCAGTTAGGATAAGTTAATTCGAATCATTTCTTTAACACTATATTTCTTTAAAGGCTCAATACCACTCTTGTTGTAACTGAATAATATGTCCCAATCTTTATTCTGGTCAACAAATTGTACTATTTTACAATATTCCAATTAATTGATGATACAAATTTCATCTTAACACACCTAATTTCAAAATTGGAAAAATTCAACTAAATGATTGGAAAAGCCTGACGTAAAGCTTTTCAAATGTGACTTGGATTTAAAAATATTTTTGAACCCTCTGGACAAGTAAAATAGGATTTAATGGATAATTTACACAACAGGTAGGACACTAACACATCTAGTACTTAGAATAAGGCTATTTTTTTTATTTTCTGGAGCTGTCAAGCCAGCAAGAGTGTTATTGTCCCTTTAACACTATATTTGTGGGTACTGGCGGTTTGTCAAGGTGTAAAATATACATTGTCCTTGGGAATGGACTCTCGAAATGCATGAAATATGTATAATGTGGAGGATGTTATATAGCTAATATGTATAATGTGGAGGATGTTGTATAGCTAATATGTATAATGTGGAGGATGTTATATAGCTAATATGTATAATGTGGAGGATGTTATACAGCTAATATGTATAATGTGGAGGATGTTATATAGCTAATATCTAGTCACACAATGGAAATTTACTAGAATTATGCGCTTATACGTGCATGGAACGGCTAATCATTAAAGATGACAACCCGAAAAGGGCAAATTTCATGCAGGGCTACGCCCATCGAATTTGCTGGTAGCATGATGTAGAAAATGTGCATATCTAGGTCCAAGGTTAGGGTTGGGATTAGCGCCAGCCCTGTTTACATCTCGTGACCTATGACGAAAAATTGAGCTGGCCTTATCATTTAGCACTAACCTACAACGAGCAAAATTCGTATACAAGGATGTGACGTCACAATGTTTTAGTAATCTCTATCAAATATTGACTTCCCGCTATTTTTCAATTCCGTCATGAAGTATATTATAATAAAAAGGTTCTTTCTATTCACTATGATGATTCTGGGAGACATCTCAACATACTGTTCAACATTCGTATAAGATCACGACGTCACTGAGCCATATTTCTCCTATATTTATCGGCGGGGGGGGGGGGTATGGTCGAATGGTTAGAGTGCGCGGTGTATCATAAGGTTTGTCATTGAGTCAACTGGCGTGGTTTCGAGTCCCCTGTTGTACGTGCCAAGGAGTAGGGTCCCACCTCGTGGGTTTTCTCGGGGTCCTCCCACAGCTAAAGACCCCTACGCGCAAGCGATTTATGTTAGTCCGAAAATGACCTGGTTTGGGTCGAGTGAACGTTAACCCCCCCTCCCCCCAATATTTATCAAATATTATGGACACCTATAGAATAGCTCGGATTTCACAATTTTACCACACTTGTTTCTAAGTAGAAAATACTGTTATTAATTAGCCGAGTTAGTATTTATCTTTCTTACCTTGTGCTGTTATAATTAAAATATAAATAACAGAAAGAAAAATAATCAAATTGTATTCCATTATTTTCTAGGTCAGCATCAATCTTTCACCTTTCCTTCTCTCCACACTTTCCTCCATCAAGCGTAACTCGAAATGTCCTTTACTATACTCTAATCATCTTAAACCGATCAGGCGATGAATCAATTAACAACTGATAGCTATTGTCCAATATCCAATTACCTGTGATTCTCAACCAGTGTGCCGTGGCACACGGCTGTGTTGCGAGATCTTCCTACCTCTGGCGCGAAATATTGAACGACACACTTAGAAAATTTCTCATTAAAGATGCTAACTATTTGACTGATGAAATTCGAAACACTGCAATAAAATAAGCTCATAGCTGTGGGTTTTTTATTTAGTTTGAGTCATTCTATGTTTCTATGGCTAGTCTGTATCTACGGATGTATGCCGTCCATGACTTGCTATGTTTTTATTTTGCAAAATTCAAATATTTTTTATATATATTTAGCCAGGTGTGCGGCTATTTTTTTCATGTTTCCCAAGGTGTGCCGTTGGCAAATCCAGGTTAAGAACCACTGGTATAGACGCATAGAACACATTATTTTATAGCTGCACAAATTCCCCCGAAAAAAAAATGGTGTTGGATAAGCATGTATACAACATAAAATTATTATCCAAAAGTTTAGCTACATGAAGACCCCGATAGCAGGAATGGTATAGGGGGTTCATGTGATGAATAAATGACAACAGAAAACTAGTTTCCAATCACTATTGCCAAATATTTCATTAATGATCTAAGTATAGATGCACAGCAAACTTAGCTACATGAACTCTCCGAAATGAGAAATGATATCATATATTCCAGAAAGGGTCAGCATATATGCCAGTCCGACACTGATTATATCTAAAGATTAGCGAGAGATACCTTGGACTAAAATTAACAGTCATGAAAGCAAATAATACAAAAATGGTATACTGACTTGGAGTTCTCCAATACCAGAGGCACCCCACCTTTGCACAGTCATCTTAGTTCAATGTTTTCAAACCTGAGGTCCAGGGAATTAAAGTCCTGTTTTTCTAACAAAGACGTGCGTACGAATTGCAGTGTGCTATTGGATAAATGTTGCCCAGACAGCATACTGTTTTAAGGAATTCCAACTTTTAAAGGGATAGAGAGATAGAGAGAGGGCGGAATTAACGTCCAATTTCAATAATTTGCTTGCGCGTAGGGGTCTTTTAGCAGTGGGAGGACCCGGAGAAAACCCACAAGTTTGGACAGGTGACCCTACTCCTTGTCACGTACAACCGGGGAATCGAAGCCACGCCTGTTGACTCAATGACAGACCTTATGATGCAGCTGGCATGCGCTAACCATTCGGTCATCCACTCCCCCTCCAACTTTTAAGGATTCACTTACATACACGTCAATCTGTACACGTGACTTCAGTTGTTTGTCCCATCCGTACAACTAAACAGTTGTCGGTCGAAAAGCGTTGTCGGGGAACACTAATTCAACAAGTTAGCAGCAATTGAGTGGTGATTGGATCCAACGGGATGGGAAACTTCAGTTCAGTTTTAGCATACACTAGACAGGGTTCAATTTTAGCCTAGACTAGACAGAGTTCAATTCTAGCCTAGATTAGACAGAGTTCAATTTTAGCCTAGACTAGACAGAGTTTAGACAAGAGTTCAATTCTAGTCTAGACTAGACAGAGTTCAATTTACTGAAAGGGAACACGAGAAGGACAAATTCCAAGGAACCTTCTCAGTCAACGCTGGGACTTAAACCCGGTCGTCCTTACTCATAGAACCACCGTGGCGCCCTTACTTATAGAGCCACTGTGGCGCCCTTACTCATAGAACCACCGTGGCGCACTTACTCATAGAACCACCGTGGCGCACTTACTCATAGAACCACCGTGGCGCACTTACTCATAGAACCACCGTGGCGCCCTTACTTATAGAGCCACTGTGGCGCCCTTACTCATAGAACCACCGTGGCGCACTTAGTCATAGAACCACCGTGGCGTCCTTACTCATAGAACCACTGTGGCGCCCTTACTAATAGAACCATCTTGGCGTCCTCTTCAATTTAAACGTTTCACCTTTGCTCGTAAACATTACTAGATTTAACATTTAAATATGTATATCTTAAGGTCTTATGAGTAATAAAGTTTGAAAAATGAATTATAAAGAACTAATTACTTATAGAGCCACTGTGGCGCCCTTACTCATAGAACCACCGTGGCGCACTTACTCATAGAACCACCGTGGCGCACTTACTCATAGAACCACCGTGGCGCACTTACTCATAGAACCACCGTGGCGCCCTTACTTATAGAGCCACTGTGGCGCCCTTACTCATAGAACCACCGTGGCGCACTTAATCATAGAACCACCGTGGCGCACTTACTCATAGAACCACCGTGGCGTCCTTACTCATAAAACCACTGTGGCGCCCTTACTCATAGAACCATCTTGGCGTCCTCTTCAATTTAAACGTTTCATCTTTGCTCGTAAACATTACTAGATTTAACATTTAAATATGTATATCTTAAGGTCTTATGAGTAATAAAGTTTGAAAAATGAATTATAAAGAACTAATTGCATGTGTGTATGAATGAATAATGACCAAATGAAATATTATAATACCATTTTGTAACTATAATTAATAGCTAATTGTTAAAACTTGAAGGGTAATAAAGAGTCATATTAAGTAGGTACCTACCATCTTTGACTCTACACGACAGTTGTTGAAATCCCACGCTATAAAACAGTAAAATTAACCAAGTTTAGATCTTATTCATTTAAGTATAAAAGTTAGTGTTATCCTTCTGACCTTTTCTCATATATGAAGTATCAATTAGTATAATATCGTTTGTTGTAAATCACTCTATGGAAGACTCTTCAACATGATCTATACAGTATATAAGACATCCGTTAATAGATGGAAGTCGTCATCATCTGTACACAGACTGAGATACCATTCGTCAAGATGCAACTCTTTATGTCTATGTGCTTTGGCTGGTAAGTTACGGTTTTATTTTGATTGTTAAAAGAAGGACGGATTGCTAGTAACGACACCATTAGAGTTAGATCAATAACCTCACGGTAGCATCCTCGATCCGGGCTGTGTGTCAAAAGATTTTATCCTTGAAAAAGATACGTTGCAATTGTCTTCCATGTTACCAAGCTAAAATTGGGTACTGGTAATGTAGCATACAATTTCATAAGAGTTAGTCAGTTAGATCTTTAACCTCACGGTAGCATCCTCGGATCTTGCTGTGTGCCAAATGATTTTATCCTTGAGTAAGACACCTTATAATTGTCTTCCATGTTACCAAATTAAAATTGGGTACTGGTTTAAGATTGTCCAAATCCAATGTAGCATAAATTTTCAGTATCATAAATATGACGGTTTTATAGACAAAAGTTCGATCCCTGCATTGGCCGATAAAGTTCGTCTGGATTTTCCGACGTGGTTTCCCCTTGTCAGTGGTGCAGAATGGAGGGCCTGACAAGGCCAGCTGTCTAGTCCTTCGGATGAGACGAAAAACCGAAGTCCCGTGTATACATTGGAATGCACGTAAAAGATTTCTTGGCAGTTGGAATTCGATATAAGAGTAGGCGATAGTGCCGCTGCCCGGGCAAAATTTCCCTCATAGCACACTGTATGGCGTATGCCCGTCTTCATTAGCCCAGTATAGGAGCAGAACAGTAGGACGTTAAACCCCATTTCATTTCATTTCATTTATAGACAAGAGATCTCCAAAGTGAGGGAACAATATCACCGATAATGCATCTTTAATATGATACCATTTTTAAAGTTGCAATTTCATATTTTTAAGTTATATTTTAAAAATTTATTATAATAAAGCCTTAAAATAGGTAGTATCTATAAACAGTCCTACCTTGTTAAAGAATAATCCTATTAATCCCATAATTCACTATTGCCAATTGAGAAATTGGCAAAAATATCATTTTCATCTTCAAATTCCATGGTGGAGAATAGAAAACAAGGGAGGTAATTGGGAGGTTATTGTGTTATTATTTCCGGTGTAAATGAGTTTTAAGTGTGAGAATGACACCTATGATCAAAAGACATAGAAATAATTTTGTTTTGACTCTCTTAGAAAATATGAAATTGTAACTTTAAGAAGTAATAATTAGACTCTCCCACATATTCTAAACATATGGACATTACCCGTCCTAATCCTTTCTATGGTCTCGAGCATAAAGTTGTTTATATTTTTATCACGTAGGAATTGCCTCTAGTGAATTATCACAGAGAATTGTTGATGGAGCTAATGCCTATGCTGGACAGTTCCCGTGGCAAGCGTCTCTCCAGAGAAATTCTAGTGGCAGCTGGTCTCATATCTGTGGTGGAAGTTTGATTGCCAACAACCGAGTTTTAACAGCGGCTCATTGTGTTACTGCCTCAAGGTTTAAATAATGTTTCTACAAATATCTCCAAATTCCATCTAAATAATAAACTGTACGCGATCAATACAAGTTAAAGTATTCCTTCGTATACGTTAAGAAGTCAACCAGGGGCGGATTGGGCCATCGGGCCGAAGGGCCGGTCGGACAAAAAATGAAAAAAATAATTTTGTCCAATCCGTCTAATAAAACTTTTTCTGCTGAACATTATATGGGGGGGGGGGGGCATTGGACCGGCCATGGAGCGATGATGATCATGTTGTATGTGGCCGGTGGCTTTAATGGGCCGCCACGCCATCACTGGAGTCTGGAATGGGCTGGTATAATAGACTTTCTGGGCCGGGTGTGCTGGGTGTGGGCCGGAATTCGGAATGGTCTAAATTTTCTCAACTAGTCCAATTTTTAAACCAGTTAAATTCTCTTGACTCTTGACGATACAACGATAATACGTTAATTAATAATATGACGATATGATAATTTCACAGGTTGATAGTTGTAAATTACTTGCAGGTCGGAGTTTTGGCCTAAATTTATCGATTTATGAGATATATTATTTGACCGAGATTATAATCAGATATGCCATCAAATCGCATATTTGGGGTTCATTTTGCAAAATTTTCCCGGAGGAGAGCCCCAGGATCCCCCGTCCGGGCTCCGCGGTCAGTAAAAGGGGGCGCTCCGACACGGGAGCAAGGGCGGGTTCCCGGCCCCAATCCGCCCCTGAGGTCAACACAAGGAAGAAAACGCCGTCAAAAGCCATTGATCCTCATTTGATTTTGATTAACAATATATAAATTTGCACGGTTTAAGCTGGGCTAAAATGTGATAATTGAAGATTTTTTAATGAACGACATTATAAACATAGGCACGGAAAAACTTTATAGTTGCTGGCTTATGTTTTTAGTATTCTGTATTATAGTTTGACACAGTTTGGGACGGACATTCCTTTTATAGATTCAACTTTCACAACATTGTACGTGTCGTTAAAATGTCCCCTAATAACCACCAAGGCCTTTAATAAAACGATGGTGAATATTAGCCTCCTTGGTAAATGACACCATAACCACAGATACAATCAATTCCCATCTATATGTCTTAAAATGGTTAAATTTATAATTTACGAAACATTAAACCACATTCCGTTCATTTTATTTTATTTTTTTTATAAATCTAAATTTGATAGCTTACGCGTTTATACACGTTTCACATAAAATAGTAAAGGTTTGAATTTGTTACGCCCTTCGTCTAACTTCCGGTAGGGTCTAGTTTGATTATGGCCATTTAATACAAAGCTAGAATACGCGATCAACCAGTATTTACTCAATGTTACCCAGTTTGTGATTCCCTCCCCTGTTTTAATTTGATTTTGTCAGCCCCGGATTATACCAAGTTGTTACTTAACAATAATGATAATACAGAACAGACTATCTACATCAGTTCTATTGTAAACGTAAGTAATTTTATAATTTATTATTTTAGTTGTACACATGGATAGCAAAATTAGCTCCATGAAAGTCTTTGAAGATGGGAATTGATATCAGAGCACTAAACAGCGAGAATACATACACTATCTTGTACATGATACTCGTTACCGTCTAGAATTAAAACAAATTTCAATATATAATTTACCATATTTTAATTAAAGCATCCAAACTACAATGGTAATGCCAATGGATACCCTAACGATATTTCTGTTATGAGACTTTCATCCAATGCCAATACCGGAAGTTCAGCTGTAAGTATCATCGATCTCGCTAGCTCTGGATCCAATTTTGTAGGCCAGAAATGTACCATTAGTGGATGGGGCAGAACATATGGTACGTATATCTACTTGATTATATATTGATAAGGCCCTCTTTGTCTATATTATAGGTTCTAGCGGACTATGTATTATATGACTAATTGCTTTGGGTTCTAATAAACAACGGGAGTCACGATGGCTAAGTGGGTAAGATGCTGGCTCACTAATCTGGATGTCGCGTGTTCGATCCCTGCATTGACCAAGAACGTTTATTACGGATGGAACGAAAACCCTAGGCACCGTGTATACATTGGCATGCACGTAAACGATCCCTTGGCGGTTGGAATTCGATATAAGAGTACAGGCAAAATTTCCCTCATAGAAAACTGTATGGCGTATGCCCGTCTTCCGTCTTCATTAGCCCGGGTTAGGAGCAGAACAGTAGGACGTTAAACTCCATTTCATTTCATTTCATGCCCGTCTATATTAGCCCAGTATAGAAGCAGAACAGTAGGACGTAAAACCCCATTTCATTTCATTTCTAATAAACAATTGACCTGTTTACTAATTAATTGTGTTATGGAATATAACTGTCTATCTTGTGGAATTATGTGTCATTTATATTTTACCCCCCATTCCAGTTTGTGAGCCGTGGTGACTCACTTAGTAAGACGTTGGCTCGCTAATCTGGAAGTACCGTGTTCGATCCCTGTGTTGACCAATAAACTTCATCGGGATCTGCTGTCGTGGTTCCCCCTTGTCTGTGGTGAAGGACGGAGGACCTGGAAAGGGATAACGTATAGTCGCTCGGATGGGACTAAAAACTGAGGCCCCGTGTACACATTGGCGTGCACGTAAAATGACCCATGACAGTTGAAATTCGAAATACGAGTAACTACTTGTGCCGCTGCCCGGGCACACTGTCCCACATAGCACACTGTATGGTGTATGCCCGTCTTCATTAGCCCAGTCGGTGCAGAATAGTAGGGCACTAAACCCCATTTCGTTATTAATATTATGTTGGTTTTTGCCAGGCGGCAGCAGTATACCCAACACCCTCCAACATGTTGCTATGAACCAAATCTCACAGAGTGAGTGTACAACCAGATGGGGTAGTTCTTACATCAACAGTGGACATATCTGTGTTTTTGAGTCTCCTAAATCAGTCTGTAACGTAAGTTGTAACATGGACAAGGAATCTTCCTTTGTTCTTTTCGTTGAATAAGCAGATTGTTTTCCCCCTGTAGATTGGAGTGGAGCTTAAGCGTGCAATAACTAGACATGTTCAATGTTATTGCACTCTTTTGCTGGTTTACACTAGTTTTACTAGAAATCATATAGAGAAGTGGGGTGGATTTTCTATGCAATAACAACAAGCATGTTGAGCAGGTGTCAATGTTACAAGTCATCGTTAGCACACTTCATTCGTTAACAGGTTTAACATCTCGGCCTACGGCTATAAATATAACTTCACTTTCTAAAATTTGTATCTCCGTATTTCTTCCGTGGTAAATACAGTTCTATTAACTGTACTTTAAAACTAGATGAAACTTAATTAATTGTTTTAAGTGCTGGGTGAGCGTTGTACAGTATTGTGTTTAACTGTACTTTAAAACTAGACGAAACTCAATTAATTTTTTTAACTGTTGGGTGAGCGTTGTACAGTTTTCTGTTTTACTGCAGGATGATACCTGTATTAATACAATATACAAGTGATAGTTGCATAATGTTTTAAACTATTGTTTCACAGTATTAAAAATAAACCAGGTAAACTACTTGGTAGACAGTTTTGTCATAATGTTTTAACTGCAGAGCCGCTGCCCGGGCACAATTTCCCTCATTGCACACTGTATGGCGTATGCCTGTTTTCATTCGCCCAGGGCCCTTATTCACGAAAACTTAAACTAAGATACAATCGAAATTTTAAGAAATACTGCAATTCGATTGGCTGACCAGTAAAATCAATTTGCATATATCCAATTTGCATATTCGTCAGCCAATCGAATTGCAGTAATTCTTAAAATTTCGATTGTATCTTAGTTTAAGTTTTCGTGAATAAGGGCCCAGTTTAGGAGCAGCACAGTAGGACGTTAAGCCCCATTTCATTTCATTTTTAACTGCAGAGGGATAGTGGTATAATATTGTTTTAACTGCGGGGTGATAGTATTGTGTTAACTGTAAAGTGGTAGCAGTTTAATAATTCTTGACTGCAGAATGATTGTAATACGATATTATGCTTTAACTGCAGGGTGATAGTGGTGGACATATGGTCTGTAATAGTGTTTTAGCTGGTGTTACATCATGGGGAGCAACAGGTTGTCCTGGTACATACCCTAGTGTTTACACTCGTGTATCTGAATATCTTAGCTGGATCGCTTCTATTTAACATGTAAATAGTTAGCTGGGTCGCTTCTGTTTAAGATGTATATTGGTAAATGGATCGCTTCTATTTAACATATAAATTATGTATCTATGTTTATCATGTACATTTACGACCTATAATAAAATTATATCATAAATTCACCCTTTCTTTCTTTAACCCTCAAAAATGTGTTCATCGCTATCAGTAGTCTGTGTCTGATGAAACACAATTATTAATCCTCTACTCATATGCCTATATATACTCTTCAAAAAAAGTAGGGGATATTCAGAAACAATACAAAACTGCGGAAATGCACTGCTGTTTTTATAAGAGGTAACCAGTGTATGTTAATAAAAGGCCAATTGCCTACACATGAACATAAACAGTTCATATGGGCGGCTTATCTGACGGCCCCATTTCACTCGCAAAGAGCTACACTGTCAAAAGTGAAAATGGACGTTTTTGATTTTTGTCTTAATAATGAGTCATTGCTCCACCAATCCTCAGACATTTAGCAATTCGTCGTGGCATGCTCCTTATCAATTGCCCAATCACGATTTGGGTCAATCTGACCCACTCCTCTTGCAGTGCCACGGCCAATTCTTGCAGTGTCGTCGGTTGACGTTGACGTCGACGAACACGTCTCCCGATCAAATTAAACACACTAAAGCAAAGATACGCTAAACAGTAAATCTTATGGAAGAACCGATCGGAAAGCAAACATGGATAGGATAAACCAGCAAGCGACAATTTTCATCAACTCTTCCTTGAAGTGTCAAATTTGACAATGAACCCCTCCCACGTGAATGGCGCTATTACGTGTCGCACATGCAGCTCAGTGGTTCTGTTGGGGCGATAAGTTCTTCATTTGTGAACATACTCTCAAAGCATGTCAAGTGTCCATGACTATTTACAATATCACAACCCGTATAGGTATTTGCATTTCAATATCCCCTACCTTTTTGAAGAGTATATAATATGCTAGTCTGATGGTCACTGACAGTCGTCTATGTGGTAGCATGCCGTGTCAAACTATCCTGCTGTGGACTTTAACATTCCAATCTCTGTGGCCTTCACGTTGTGAATTTTAATACTTAATCATTTATAACTCTTAACCAAGGTATTGTTGACAGAATTTCCTTTGTATAAGAAATACAGTTATGATATTATGTATCAACCTCATCGGACAAGTATGCCTCTCTCTCTTTCTCTCTCTCACTCTCTCTCTCTCTATGAAAACCGCATGATCTCTTGACCTGTACCAGGGCAACTCCTTTCAAGGATAGCCCCCTAATTTACCGAGGTACGTTTATCTTCTTAATCGGAAAGGGACGAATGGCATATGCCGCCCAAAGATCACATTCAGATTACCAGCCTATGACGTCATTGACCTAGTTTAATCTGCAAGGTGCATTAATAGCCAAAATCTAGCTATCATCCATTTGTAGGTATCGAATTCAATACATTAAGCAGAACACCATTAAGAGAATTTAAATAACCTCTATGGATACACATGGAATGACATTTGTTTGTCAAACATTTCACTCCGTTAGAGAGACCAAGACCGGTTGTTTTACGCCTAGGCACTACAACGACATATCTACAGATAGTAGGGTCTTTGAGGGAGTGCAAGATTCTACAACACTACTCAAGTATTCAGGGGCTGTAACAGCATACGTTTATCTCGGAAGTCAATGCTTTCTAATTCTATACTGTGAAATATTAACAACTAGTTCTTCAATGTAATAAACTTTATATATATTAACAGCTAATCAGTCTAAATATCAACAGTTCACACATCAGTTTATACCAGGTTACACATGGGCCTAATTAGAGAATTCGAATACGGATGAATTCAGAGGGAGAGAGAGATGGTGTTTAACGTCCACTCGACACAAACTAGGTCATTTCGGGACTAACATATGGTTTAATTTTATTTCAATAATTCGCTTGCGCATAGGGGCCTTTAGCAGTGGGAGGAAACCGGAGGACCCGGAGAAAACCCACGAGGTTGGACAGGCGACCCTACTCCTTGTCACGTAAACCGGGGATTCGAAACCACGCCAGTCGACTCAATGACAGACTTTATGATACAGCGCGCGCACGCTAACCATTCAGCCATCCAACCCCCCCCCCCCCCGGATGAATTAATGTGTAATAATTCTGATTATATTCTAGGTGCTGAATATTAAACTGAAGACACGCTGAAGATTATTGACGATGTTGAATAATACCGATGATTAGTATATACTCATAATTATATTCTGAAGAGAGAATTGGGTTTAACGTCCACTCGACACAAAATAGGTCATTTCGGGACTAACATATGGTTCAGTTTATTTTAATAATTCGCTTGTGCTTAGGGGTCTTTAAAAAAGGAGGAAACTGAAGGACCCGGAGAAAACCCATAAGGATGGATTAAGCACCCTACTTCTTGAAATCTACAACCGGGGAATCAAAACCACGCAACTTAACTCAATGACACACCCAATAATACACAACGTACGTGCTAACCATTCGGCCACGCAATCCCATATATTCTGGGGCGAAAATCAACGTCGAAAAATCCCAATTATTACCAGCTGGATCTGTTAAAAATGAACATGTTTCACTCCCTGTACAAGTTGAAATTATCTATGAATGCATCGAAATATTAGGTATTTACTTAGGACCAAACTCCAATGGATGTAACCATAAAAACTGGGATACCCAATTGTTTTAAAAATATACATGTTATTTGAATTATAAATATAATATCATGACAACCCGTCATCCAGACATAAACACTCAATCTGTGTCAGCATCACAAGCCTTTATTATCCAGTTCAAAGTTACCTATATTCCCCATAGTAAACTTGTTCATCCAGCCCTCCAAAAAATTTAACATGGGAATTTGCTATTGCAAACCTTTTCATCAGAATTTCTTAACAATTATTTAAGTATAAACATTTTTCTTGTCTATAATATCTTTATTATCATTTAAAGTCACCAAATATGTTAATTCCTATAACTTTAAAGACTATATTTTAATTTTAAAGCTTATTTTTCTGTTAGACACACAAAAACCTTTTACTAGAAATCATATTGTTAACCTGTTTTTAAGAAATTATTTGTAAATCCTTAACTAAATTCATCTCTTTTACTCACAATAGTTTTCATTTATGTTTAAAGTCACCAAAAAATGTAATAATTGTAGCATTTAGAATTATAATTAGTAATCGAAAACATATATTGTCATTGATACTAGCCGCACCTAAAACGTTGTAATTATCTATTTCTATAATTGTGTATATGACAGGCATAGATTTTAATTGTACATAATATATTTTATTTATTCTTTTTACTCTTTTATACATACTTGTCTCTCATTCTATACATATTATAAATAACAAAAAATATTTGTTCTTATTGTACACTGTACATTACTGTTACTGTAAATTAGATTTGCCTGTATATACATAACTTAGTATTTTTCACTGTGAATAGATGTAAAGTGAATAGAATGTTGTAAAATGTTGTAAATATTATAATGAATATACTTTCTGTGAATAAACATTTTACAAGGAAAAAAAAGAGAAAAAAGCACGTGCGTGCTGTATCATAAAGTCTGTCTTTGAGTCACCTGGCGTGGTTTCAAATCCCCGGTTGCACGTGACAAGGAGTAGGGTCGCCTGTCCAACTTTGTGGATTTTCTCCGGGTCCTCCGTTTTCCTCCCACTACTAAAGACCCATACGCGCAAGTGAATTATGACAATAAAATTGAACCATGTTAGTCCCGAAATGACCTAGTTTGTGTCGAGTGGACGTTAAACCCCATTTCTCTCTCTCTCTCTCTCGAAGACGATATTAAAAGGGTGGGGTCAAAACAATCCATAGCCACCTATAATCCTCGTTAAAATCTTTAGATGGACCTGTTTTAACCCGTTTCCTTTCAATATTTACAATGATGAATTGGAAATTTGGTAAAATTCCGAAAACACTATAAAAGGTGGCTAAAATCTTTAGACCAGCCTGTTTTAATCCCATCGAATACAATTCAGGAGATTATTGACATTCGATATGTTGATATTGCTATCATTTTAGCTATCTTAAAAATGCATATGACGATCTGTGGCTTAAATATGAATGTACACATGGTGTAGATATCACAACTTTTATTTGTATTGATATTTAATATCATCAATATCTAATGTAACTTACTCTACATGTAAGAAGGTCAGGGAGCCGCGGTGGCTCAGTGGGAAAGTCGCTGACTCCCTAGTCTGGAGGTGTTGGGTTCAATCCCAGTGTTTTCCGTGGCGTAGGAGGTCCTGTGTACACATTGGCGTACACGTAAAATAACCGCTGACAGCCGTAGCGCCGCTGTCTGGGAAATAATTCCCTCAAAGCACACTGCATGGCGTAGTTCCGTCCTGATTAGCCCAGGCGGTTTAGAAAAGTAGGACGCTAAACCCCCAATTTCATTCATTTAGTAAGAAGGCCAAACAATACCCTCGTGCATCGTCATCAGTATTATTTGTTATGACAAAGACAACCACATGCTGATAAACCCTCCAACATGGATATGACATAAAATGTGTTTTAACGTCCTACTGTTCTGCTCCGACTGGGCTAATGAAGACAGCAACTCTGGAAGACTAGCATGCATTAATAGTATCATCACATGTAATTCTCCATCTGGAAAGGTACATTGGCCTGTAAGCATATTCAATCAGCAGTGGTTATGGGCATTAGCAGTTCAGCGCTTGGGGGGGGGGGGGGGGGTTAGAGCATGCGTGTTGTATCATATGGTCTATCAATGACTCATAGGGTCGCTTGTCCAACCTCATGGGTTTTCTCCGGGTCCTCCCACTGCTAAGAAAAAAACCACGCGCATGCGAATTATTGAAATAACATTGACCCATATGTTAGTCCCGAAATGACCTAGTTTGTGTTGATTGGAGATTAAACGCCATTTCCCTCTCTCGGCGGCAATTAAAGCACAGAAATCCGCAATAGCAGACAGGGATGGCGAAAGAGTATTATAACAAATGTATTGTAGGCGTATACAAATTAGTTTAATTTAACAACATATTATCTATCACAGCAAATTTGTTAATAACGTGATCAGAACTTCATCAAGTAAA